CCCCTGCTGAGGCCTCTTGAACAGTGGTGTCAGGGATTTTATTGTCCCACTCTTGGGCTGGTCCCTTCGGCGGTGCCCAGTAGCTGTCTAGGGGATTTGAACACGCGGCTGAGGAGGAGGGGGAAGGGGAGAAGAAGAAAACGAGCCTAATGGGGCAGCAAGAAGCCAAACTGCCCAGCCACCCGCCCCACTCCCCACGTGCTGTTTATCTGCAGAGTCCCAGGCAGGCTTGGCAGATGTTCCCAGCTGCTTTAGATGCCAGCAGGATCAATGCTGCTCCTATCTTTGGCTCATGACAAGGGGCTGTTGTTCCCACTGCCAGCACTGAGACTTCAGCTCCTACATCACCCACCAGTCTAGGAAGAGACTAGAGTTCCTTTGCCTCTCCCTAAGGCAAAGGAAGCCACAGGCCTGCTTTAGTCAGAGGGCAGGAAAGATCCCAGGAGGTCTTTGCTGAGATACTCTCTGCAGCCCAGTACCCCCTAAGATATTCTCAGCATCCATTGGTGTGTGTGTGTGAATGAAGGATGGCTTTCTCCACAGTGCCTCAGCCCAACACCTCTCACCATTTGCCCACTATAGAAACCACTTTGCTGGAGAGAGCAGAAGAGCCTGACTCTGTGACCTCAGAGTACTCTGGAGGGCTGTGAGCAGAGATAAACCAGGCATGTACACGGCCTCCATGGTGCTGCACCGCAACATGCCTCCTCAGGGATGCAAGCTACCTCTGTTTGCCTCTGCCCCTGCAGTAAGCTGATTTCCTATAATTACGCTCCTATTAAGTCTCAATTCACCCATCTATTTTAATTCCTGCCTTGCCTATGAATCTAAATCATGGGTATGCATTCAGCCTAGCAACTGTCCTTAAAAGACAAGAGCTAGTCTCTGCCTCTGAGAGCTCGCAAGTTAAATACAATTACTGGCTCAGAGGCACATCATTCTTACTGCCAGCACCACCAGACCCTTGCAAAAGGGTCTGACCCTCTTCCTCTCAGCTTGGAGCAGAATTTGCTCTGTGCAAGCTCAGGCCATAAATACCTTCTTTAATTCCCCATTACACCAACAGCAGTGCACCTGCTCTCTCATACTGCAGGGACATGGACTCAATGAAATCTTTGGTTTCAGAGTACAAGGAGCTCAAGTGGGCACTACTTCCTCCCCTCCACTCCCCACCCCCATTCAGTAAAACTGGATCTATGGCAGTTTCAGATCCCTGGTTAACTCGTGATCTCTGGCACAGGTATTTTTCCGGGTCTCATTAGATTGTGCTAAAGCCCTGGCCAGGGAACAGTCTGGACAGACAGATTGCAGCAGCACAGTTTGCGATATGGAGGTGTCAGTAGTGGGATCTGGATCCTGTCTAGCCCTGCTTAACTACCTGCAGCACTTCACCACTCACAGGAACAAAAGGCTTGAGCCGTCCACTCAGCTTCTGGGAAAATCAAGCTCCTTTGTGTAGGGCTGATTTAGGCCTTAAACTCACAATGGGGTGATAGTGACTTCACATGACTTTGCACAACCTGATCAAGCACCAGCCAGCATTAGCTACTGCCCTGTCCTCACAGGGTGCATCAGGGCCAGCAGGATCATTGTCAGGGACTCCTTGAACACGCTTGCAACGAGCCTTCTTGCTGGCCCTTGCCTTTGGGAGTACCACAGGCAGCAGAGCCTGGGGTCTGTCCAGCTGTCTCCTACTTCAGCCTCTCTCAGCTCACCTTTGTGCCTTCCTGCTGTACTTGGCTGCCCATTTGCCTCCTGAACCCCCTGCTCAAGGAGGGGATCTCAGAGTCTGGGAGGAGGTGCAGGATTTTCCAGAGACGTCCCTGACTGTGAGCAGTGCCTGCACTCCCTGCTGGAATGCAGTGAGAAGCTTCCCTTGTCACCCTGGCGAGGCATCCTGGGTCCTGTGCGTGTGGCTATTTTGGTCCATCTTTTTATCACACACTCCTCCCTGTGGAATTTGTCCAATTAAAACCTTGCAATCTGCAGCCTTCACTCTCAGAGGCAGTGAGTGCTTGGAAGGTCCCCTTCCCAGACACGCCATGGCTGCACGGACTGTTCCCCACGCCTACCCCATGAGTTTGGAGTACGAGTTTGCCAACCCTAGCAAGATCTATGACCAGAACTTTGGAGAAGGTAAGAAAGGAGATGGGATCCCCTTGGCACCTTTCTCTTCTCTAGTGCAGGAGGGCTGGTGTCATCCCCCTGGGAAGACTGAGCTCCAGAGCAGGCCAGGGAAGCTGGAGCCAAGGAATTTTGAGCATAAGAACCCAGGTCAAATCAGGGGGAAATAGCCAGGGAATAACCAGGGTCTCTCTCATCAGGTCCACTTCCTCCATCCGTGCCTACTACTCTCTCTCCTGTCCCTCCCTCATGCCCCCAGTGGTCTGGCATTCATGCATATGCTGTGCAAACATGG